CTACCTACCTACCTACCTACCCTACCTACCTACCTCTCTCTCTCTCTCTCTCTCTCTCTCTCTCTCTCTCTCTCTCTCTCTCCCACACATACACGCGCGCGCATGCACGAAAACCATACAAAAAATTCACATAATTGGATCTGTTTCTGAGCTTACACATACTGTAAGATTAGTTGTTTTCATTGTTGAAGAGTCTATTTTTGATGAGTTCTCATTATAAGATCTCCTCAGTTCCTCTCGGTGTGCTGTAGTAGCACTGCGTACTGTCAGCGGCTTAACCCACAAATCACTGATCCCCATCTCTTTTGCCCCATTGATGTATGTCGCGGTCACGAGTTGTGCCCAAAGTCTTGCACTGAGTCAGCCTTTAGTGGCATTGCTCGACAACCTGTGAACGAAAGATAGGCGGTATCTTTTCAGTATCTATGCATATATATCTTCCGCTTTCTTCTTCTAGGGTTTGTCTTCTTCTACTTTCACATGTTACGCTAGGTAGGTCGTTCATAGAATTCTACTCTACTCTCCTTTCCCTCGAGACCAGAGGTTAAATGTGCATCACTTTAAGCTCGTATACGACGTTAAAGGAAATCAACCACCGCCACTCATTGCCTCTACTCTTATCGTTCCCCGGACAAATGCAGATCTTGAATGAGAATGGCATGAAGAACAGTGGAGAACAAGATCAGGTACTTTGCAAATGATACCGATCGATCGACTTCCAAAGAGTATGATTGTTTTGCTGCCATTCTCCGTTACTGCAGGAATGCAATGATGAACAGAAGAAAGACCTCAGGAGTCGAGGGCTCTGCCTCGTCCCTGTCGCCTTCATGATGCATGTAGGGAGTGGTAATGGAGCCGATCTCTGGGCTCCAGCGCTCGGTGGAGGCTTCCGTTGAGGCTTACGACTTGTTGCTTTGCCTGCTTTGGGGACTGCAGGTTGGCAAGGCATCATTGGCTGTCACTCTGCCGAAAGAGAAGACTGATCGCTTATGATGCTGTGGATTGCGAGTACCGAAGCATGGTAGGAGATAAGGCCAGATGGCAGAGACATGTTTGTTCTATAGATTCCCTCGGCGATCAGCTATGATTATATCTTACTCCAGTGTGATCCATCAGCAGTTTCTTGAAATGTGGCAATTAGGGTTTCAATTTAGACGGTTCTCATGCCACACTAATCATTAGTTAAACAAGAGAAGCCATGGAGGAAAGGAAGACTCTGCAAGTACCACTGTGGTCGACTTCATGCCGGTTTATAGCATCAGCTGCACGTACCACTGAGTCGTAGTATATGTTCAGCATTATTTATGTTTGGCAGTAATATGCAGAAGCTGATATCGATGATGAATCATAGTATATATTCAGCATTTATTTATCTTTTACCTTCATCACAAAAAATATATTTGTGAGATAAAAAAATATATCGATATCGATGATGAATCGTAGTATATATTCAGCATTTATTTATCTTTTACCTTCATCACAAAAAATATATTTGTGAGATAAAAAAAATATCAATATCGATGATGAATCGTAGTATATATTCAGCATTTATTTATCTTTTACCTTCATCACAAAATATATATTGTGAGATAAAAAAAAATATTGATATGGATCGTCATCATAAATAGTGAAATAAACTAGCTAATTTTTTTTTTATCGATTATTAGATTATCATCATAGTTCTCTTTGAAATTGATATGGATCGTCGATGAGCCGAAATCGGTTGAGCATCAATTCAATTCAAAACTTAAATATGATCAATTTGGGTCAAGAACTTGGATAACTTTAGTTCTCATCAAGACAATAATAGATTGAGCAGTATAAGCACATATAGAGCAGCTTTATGTAGTTAAAGAAGGCATGACTGAGATATAATACTGGTTTTTATTCTAGCTAGCATCTAATGGGGAGTTGATGTAGACTTTGCCATGGTGTTTGCCAGAGACAATTGGAAGTATACTTCTTAAAGGCATATATATGGTTTGCAATGCAGGCTTAACTGATTAACCAAATGAAAAAGTTTGAGAGAGAGAGAGAGAGATTAGTAGAGACAGTGCAGTTTGTATGATAAACTCAAAGACAAGTATTAATCTGTCGGGAAATCATTCAGCATGAGATC